TTGTCAGACCTCTGTGCCACATGCAGATGATCTGTCGGTGTGAGCTTGTTACCAATCATGCCTCCCAGCAGCGCTGCTCTGTTCGGCATTGCCTCAGAAAAGTTCGGTATTATCTCAGCAAAGTTTGAGGCCGTACCGTGATGATATGTGGAGTTTGGGAAGACATGGTTTGGAGGAACCCTTATCTGCGCATTCGGTGGCGCAAGGGACAATTCAAGGTTAAGATCATCAAGGTGAGTGCATGAGGATGCCATTGTTTTGTTTTTGGATTTTTTGATGTTTTTCTCTGAATTTGCAGGAAGAAATGCGGGGTGCTCTTCTACTTCACCGAGATGAGTTTAAATAGACTTATACAGACGAGGGAGCCGAAAGCACTTCGGATCTCGAGGGTGCTATCCTGTGCTCTTTTCTCTCGGATCCCTTCATTTCCGGCGCAAATTGCGAGCACGTTTTTTTTTTAAAAGGGAGCATGTCTACACTTTCACTTACTTTTACCTCCCTGTTTTCTGATTGCTTTGTATTTTTGTCTATTATTTCCAGTCATTTTGTTTTTCTTTTCTTTTGTTTAAGTTTGGGGAAGTGTGTTTTCCTTTTTATTTTATTTTATTTTTCTTTATTCATTGTTTTTCTTTTTAATTTAAAAATAACTTGTTTTCTTCTTGTTTGACAGGTTTCTTAAGAATTTAGTTGGAAGAAGAGACAAAATTAAAGATGCGTCTTGGACACCTGGTGCAAGAATCCCATCTCTTCTTTTAAATTCTTGTTTGAATTGAGTGTTTCAGTTTTTATGTATTTATTTATTTATTTTGTTTTTATTTAATTAGGTAGTACAATTTAAAACTCATAGGATATTCTTTGAAGGAGCTAAACTTTTGGTAACTCCAGTAAGCAACCGCGGTCTATACAGTGTCTAGGAGTTCTTTAGGCGACACCTTCGGTGTTTCCATCGGCCTACCCGGCCGAAAAGAGGGAAGCAAGTGAGAACCTGGTGGAGGATGTTAAAAGTCTTTAATGCACCATGTTGCCTTTGTCCAATAAGTTTTTATTAATTTAATTTAATTTTTATTGTATGATGAAAAGAAACTTACTCATCAATTAGATTTCTTGATTTCTTACTCATCAATTGGATTCCTTTATTTCTGCATTATAGGCGTATTGAAAGACAAGACTTCGGTTCCTGGGAAAAAGAAAAAGAAAAAAAGATGAGACTTCGGTTCCTCAAAAAAAATAATAAAAAATACGAGACTTCTTCTTTAATAAAAGAAGAAACTAATAAAGGATAAAAATTCATTTAAATAAAAGAAAGGGAAATTACTCATTAATAACATAAAAACGATGTTATTGATGTGAAATGAGGTAAATTTTGGTTAGAATACGTGTGCCCTGATACATAGATACATTGATGCATTGAGAAACAAGTCTTAAAGCAACTAATAAAACACAAGACATGAAAATTCAGTAAGCTTAAGCTGCTTTTTGATCAACAAAATCCCTAAAAGCATCTAAAGCAGCAACCGAACTTGTTGGAAAGCCATGCTCAAACTTGGCACTAAGCCTAACAGCTCGTTGTTTCATGTCTTCATCGCCCATCAGCTTCTCAATTCCCTTCACTATTTCTTCCTTCTTTATTTTCTCTGAAATATCATCAGAAATCAGATACCCCACTTTGAGAAAACTCACCACCAATTTGGCATCATGGTGTTGGTCGCCTCTGATTGGCCACGCCAAAAATGGGACCCCACGCCCAATTGCTTCCACGGTTGAATTCCACCCACAGTGTGATAAAAATCCTCCTGTTGATGGGTGGCTCAGTATCAACAGCTGTGGTGCCCATCCATGTATTATCAAACCCCTTTTCCCCACCCGCCCATCCAATCCATGAGGGAAATATCCTTCTTCGCCTTTTGAGGGCGGACCCGGCGGTCTACCTGAACCGGATTGGACCGCCCATATGAATGGCCGGTTTGATGCTTCTAATGCCTCTGCCAATATTGTGAACTCCTCCACTGTAGGACCCACCTCGCTTCCGAATGACACGTATAGTACTGATCCATTTGACTTTGAATCTAACCACTCAATCACCTCGTCCTCACTGATGTTGGATCTTCGATTACTGGTTCGGAGTTTGCCATCGCGAAGAATTGAACCGTCTGATTTCCAGTATTGTTCAGGCAAAAGCGGGCCCACTCCCCAAACCGGTTTCCCAATTTGTTTGGCTAGGTATTCTATAAATGGGCGCTCCAAATCATCACACGTGTTGATCATCAAGGCAATAGAGCGGTCTGCTTCATCTAACCAAGGAGGTCGACCGCCTGGTTTGGGTGGGCCCATTCTTTTCTGCCCAGGTCCCTCAAAAGGTGGGGGTGGGCCAGGTGGAGGAAAATCTACACCTGGGCCTAACGGTGGAGGCAGGCCATCGCTATGCCCACTAGGAGGCGGACCAGGTGGAGGAAAACCTGCACCTGCCCCTGGTGGTGGACTGCCGCCATGAATGGGTAGTGGTGGCCCTCGAGAATGTTGTTTAAGATCAGATAGCGTGAGGGCCATTTCTTTGGGTAGCCCTGGGAGCAAACGGGTCTCCCCGGATTTGATATCCAAGGGTTGGGCCTTCCACATGGCATACTCCATGGCAGCAGAGCAAGCACCGGAGGTGAAGAAGGCCACAGTTGGAATTCCAAATTTCTTAAAAACCTCGGCAGTCCAGCCCGTCATGATGTCAAGGACAGCACAAACGGGTGTTGCAGAATCCGGATTATCGTATCGGGTCGAGAGCAGCTTTTCAAGGCCAACGCCCATCTGATTATGGCGATCATGGTGGGGGCGGGGCGGGCCAGAGCCGGGCTGAGGCAGCGGAGATGAACCAGACGACGATGGTGGTGGGATTTCATCTGGGATTTCAGCGATTTGGACAAGTGGGAATTGGCGGAGAGATGAAGGGACAGAGGAGGAGAGGTTGGAGGAAATGACGAAAACGGCTTTGAAGTTTCTGGAGGCTAGTTGCTTGCAGAGCTCCATTAATGGGAACAGATGACCCTGCCCAATAAATGGAACGATCCATATCTCATTTGCCATCTTCAATTTGGTTGTGTTTTGGATTTGGATATGGTTCTGGGTTTTTATACAAGAATGGAGAAGAGGAAAGTGAGAAGAAACCTTAGCTACGAAGGAATTGCTGGTCAAAAGAGAGTTCTGATGATGCAGGTTGTCTGGTTGGTAGGAGTGGGATTTGAAGTTTTTAAGGAAAAGGAGGTTTTGACTGTTAGGTTCGTTGAAACAGTTGAAAGCGAAACTTCTAACTTGCAGGGGATCCCTCTGAAACGAGGACACTTGGCAACGGTGCTATTATTTTATTATTTTATTGTTTAGATTATTAATTTTGATTTTAATTGCTATGAGTGTGAAATGCTTAAACCGAGTTACCGACCATTGAGATAGGTCGGTGTACACCGACAAAGCAATGAATGTCAATTTATCATGAACAAATAATGTAAAAGTGAATTTCATATGATAATGTTGAGAGACAGTTAGGTGAAAAGATTCTGATTGTAGGGTATTATGGATTGGCTTTCATGATTGATTTGTCAAAGCAGCTATATTGGTTTGTTTTGACGTAAGCGATATTAGGGAGGGAAATTTGAACACTAAACTTCTAAGATTAGAGTCTTAACTATTTGAGCTACAAACCTATTGCTTATCTATATTAACAACTTGATATAACTAGGCATATAACTTACAGTTTTGCCCTACAGCCAATGTGGGTCAACAGGTTACGCTGGGGTGAAAAAAAGGGCTAACGAACGAAAGGCGATCTGGTTCGAATGTTGACTAAAAATAAAGTCAAGTGATTCATAACCAAACTGAACCAGTTTGGCTTGGTTCCCTATATGATGGAGATCGGGTTCAAGACATAGGACACCAACCACACACACGAACACCGAAATCTAGGGCTAGTGCAAACTTACATATATCGTAACAAATCCATGCCACATATAAACTATTTCAATAATCATAAACAAAAGTCGCCTACAACTATTACATTAGCCTTATTTATAGCCTTACTTAAGCGCCAAGGTTATTTGGTCCAAAAGTAAACTAATTATCTATAAAATCACACATAAATAATAAAAGATATCCTAAAATTACCTAAATAAGAAAATAACAATATCTCATAAAATAACTGATTAAATGATAAATATCTCTTTTGATCTACCCCACATGCTCTGCATCACTACAACTATGGTCTTCAAAGTTATTGTCGACCGTGGAGGTGGGCCAAACCGAACTGTGCCCACCTCAAGTTTACACGTACAAGCTACTTAAATACGTTTTGAACACGGATTTGGGGTGCAACTTGTCGGCCGGAGGTGGGTCAATGTTATTTATATGGATAACTAGCATATCCTGCATATTTTGTTAGTAGTTCATTCTCAAATACTTAAAAAAATTTGACAACATTGAAGCAAATGCTGTAATAGCTTTATACTACTTTTCTTATAATACAGAAGGCACAAAGATGATATGCTTTACGGCTCACCGAATGAGCTGATTAGGCAACAAAAACTCAAGAAGATGGAAGAATATCTAAAGCCACTTCCTTGAGCGATGGCATAGCTTCCTGCTGGTGCAAACAAACGTATCTGTTCCTCACTTTTCTGAACACTTTCCATGGACCTGGGTAGCACCTAAATGCAGCATAATAAATCAATACATAAAAGGTTAATACGTTTTTCGTATCACAGACCTGTTGAAAAGAAAAACAGCACACAACTATCTCTTGGTTTGTATATAACTGAAACAGATAGAGTATGAGTAGCTAGCAAACCTGAAAAGGGTCCCTCCATTGCGTCCCTTAAAATTGTGAATGTAGTATACAGTCTCCATAACTGGAAATAGGGTCTGGGAAAGTGCAGCGAGCTTCGGGTAGAAGAAAGGCGGATAATCTTATTTCATATTCAAGAAAAACGGTCATGAATGTCACCGAAAAGATCACTAATGGTTTCAAGAATTATAATCAATGATTTTGATTCTCAAAAATCCTAATGCTGTAATGCATTCATGGCACTGATCGATTGATACCAAAAACAAAAAGAAAATTGCCAATACTGGGCATAAATAATGATGTGCATCTTATTTGACCAAATGACCAAGTAAACTATATTGGATGGAGAATATATATTAAGACCATCTAAAATTTGCAAAGGATACACCCAGATCTTATGCGGTCAAGTTCTCCATTGAAAATAATTAGGTTCCTGGAAGTGTTCTCAACAGCTTCTTTGTAAAGTTCTTCGACCACGAGCATTTCTGCATTGCAAGGAATAAGTACAAATTGATCACTAACTGTTGGGGGTAGGGGGTAATATATACTCAATTATGTGAGGTTTACTGATATGAGAAGAGAAATAGAAGAGGATAAAAAGTTTCAAAAGTCATCTTAGTGCTGTCTAGAAACTCTGTATAGCCATAACCATACATATCATTTATGTCTTTGTTAGCTATATGTCGATATTATTATATTTCTTTGCTATAAACACCACCACACAATCATTATGTAGATTATGTTTTCGCTGTGTTATATTTTCTACCCTCATAAACAGAGCACAAAATATAATGGCTGTCTCAAAATAAAATATAAATAAATAAAAGTTTTGCCACCAAAAGACAAGAAAAGAGACAAAGCCAATAAATAAAAGCAGCAAAAACAACACTAGCAAACAGGTAAAACAAGAACAAGAACAAGTCTAGCAAAGAGGTAAAACAAAAACTGCTGAAATTAGAGATGTACCCTCCATTAAATCCAAGAAATGCAAATGAAACAAAAACAAGAATGAGAACAATGTAGCTTAGTTTGGAACTCTCACCAAATAGTCAAAAAGAACTAGCTTAAAATACTGGGATATAAGGGTAAAAGCTCATCCTGAGCATGGCCATCCTCATATCGCCGTGGGAGTAATAGTGTTACCAGTGGGTCAAAGAAGAAACAAGAAAAAGAAGTAAAGAGAGATTGCAGGCCTTAAAAAGAAGAGGATATGTTGCAGGCCTTGGAATAAATTATTTGTTGCAGGAATTGTGGAGCGCATACATGTATTTGCAAGAAAGAGGGAGAAATCATTAGGAAAGTGTTGAAGGTAATTTGCAAGAACTAGAACGCAACTCAGGTACATCAAGAAAAGAGTGATGAGAAAATGCAAAACATTCAGTTTTGAAAAATTGTAAACTCATGTATTTAGAAATGCAGCGTTATTGGAAAACCTAGCCATGAAGGTTCATGTAATCCACTGAAGATAAGAGGAACAGAAGAAAGAGAATTAAAAGCTTGAAAGCACATCTTATTGTTATATATCTAGGAGCTCAATTTTCTCTTCGATATCTTATTGGTTCGAATTTGGTCTTTGCTTGTTTGCTATGATCATATACTACACACATCCCATATAAAGAAAAATGTGTTCCCTCTGCATTAGATTTTAGAACAATTATAAGAAGGAATATTTGGAACTACCATTGACATTAAAATATGGATAGGCAGCCAGGAAAAGTTCATCTTCTGGCTTCACACGGTCTTTCATTTTCACTTTCTCAACAAAACCAAAATCCTCAAAAAATGAAGGCTTCGTCAGATAGTCCAGCTTGAAGGAAGCTCCTTCAAAAACTGATTCTCTTGCAAATTTAACTTCGCTGGCCTCAGGGAAGAACTGAAAGCTTTCATACAAAGGTTAATACACTTTACCTACAGGCTAGGTACTTAAAAATGATAACCAAGGAAAAGAAACAAATAGAGTAGCTAGGTTACTACAGAGTTGTGGATCACAGAAAAGGATTTTTGATGATATATGCTACTATGCGGTTCAAGAAGACAAGCAAACACCTTAAGTAGTAAAGATAAAGCCATTTCAACCAACTTTCCTGTGAAACCTTTCACAGCAACACTCCCAGAAAGCTTGTATCATGTGGAACTTGATATAGAAAACAAATCTAAGAAACCCATGCTCAACTGTGATCACATGCATTGCATATTCTCAGACATGGGTTAGGCCAGCTGGCCAAGGCTGGTGCTGCCCTTTTGCATCTGAGTTCGAAAGCCCCTCCCCGTAGTTTATAGCAGTTTAGACTATCGCTTATGCAAATATCAGTAGCTTGAGTCATATCTTGAAGAATCCACAAAATAGAACATCAAATTTCGGTAACAGATTGATTTCAACTATTAAAACAGAATAGCATGTTTTCTTTTAACAAACTAATTTAGAAGAGTTCCGTCTTATTTGGTTCAGGGAACTGCGTTTTTTTAGTTAGCGTTTCTGCTTCTTAGAAATTAATGTAGTATAATTTCTCACAAGAAAAAAGTCATGTACGTATAAGTGAGTCCATTATAGTTTATCTTCCGAAAAAGAAAAAAGAGAGAGGTGAAAGATGAAGAAAATTACTATTCTGGTCCGGGTGGCTTTCTCTGGGTTTATTAAGCGGTTACAAAATTCTCGAATTAGCTGCATACTTTCTGTCATTTCTATTCCTCCTTCGCCATCCCCTGAAATGTGTAGAATGGATTAAGATGAAAAACATAATGCAAGTTGATGGTGGAAGGAACAAACAGCTGTAAACATATATATATATATATATATATATATATATATCAGCTGGTGGAAGGAACCTGGTACAGATTCCAGTCCAGAAGTAGGGAACTCAATCTCCTGCACAAGTGACTTGTCGTTATCCCGACAAACATACTCCTTAAAATTCACAAATGGCCTGGTATTACGTTTTCATTATTTCTCAATAAAATTCTAACTCACCATCAACTGCTTGTTGTCCTTCAAAGCCAAATCAGTTGCTTTTCTGGCCTATCAATTGTCACGTAGCCCAAGAAAACACTTAGCACCAAATAGCTGTAAATTAGAAACCAAAGCCACACCTGACACCTAACAAATCAAGTGAAATGCTGACAGTGTACGCGAGAGAGATAGAGAGGTGCTGAGGTGCTGCTTGTGATAATTATAAAGTAAGTATTAATCAAAATTCTTCATAGATTTCAATATAAAATAACTCAGGTAAGGTGGAATAAGACATGCAAATTTTAGGAAAACGCATATCCCAAATAAAAAAATATAAGTTCACACGAAACTAGTGGCAAAGTAGAAGGCGCATAATTACTTGTTCAAGGAGTTCAGAATAGTCGCTAGGAATTGAGACGTCATCAAACTCAACCGAAGCAGCAGCGTCGTTGTCATCCCGAGAAGCCGAATTTGCCACAAATTTGAGATTTCTAGAGACACTGAATGCAGCAGCAACTTTGCGTGTACT